GGGGGGGGGGGGGGGGGGCGGGCAAGTCGCGACGGGTCGAGGGAGCGAGAGTACAGCAGTAGTCGGTGAGTCGCACCGTAGAATGCGGAGCAGCAGGAGGAAGAAGGGGAAGAAGAGGAGGAGGAGGAGGAGGAGGAGGAGGAGGAAGAGCAGGGGGAGGAGGAAACAATGGAGTTTAACCTTGCTTTTCGAGCTTGTTCCCCAGCCATCATCGTGTGCACACCAACCTCGGCTATCATATATCCACACAAGACAACACCCCCGGTGGCCACTTTTTTGGCGTTTTAAACTGTTGTCAACGGGATTGTGATTCTATCGGGGGATCGGGGGTGGTATATTCGACGACCCTGTTACTTTATCTGAATACCATAGTATGAGTGGTGGGGTGTTTTTCTTGCGTGGAACACGATACGTCTGGCTCGTCGAGTACACCAGAGCGGAGAAGCAACCTGCCCCAACTGCCCGCTACTCAGAATATGTGCGAGTAGAAGTTCGATGCCTCCCTCGAACTACAATATTGAGCGAATGTACCAAACCGCGACAAACGCTGTAAGGAAACTACGGAAGGGTGGGGTGGGGGGGGGGGGGGTTGTCCCGCTGTGCGTTTCACGTCCCTGCAGTACTCACGGGATGCCCGTGCAACCACGCATCAGTTCTTCTTGCTAACACCCACCTTTTCATGACTCCCAGCTATGAAGCGATAAACACAAGACCCAATATTAATGATACTGGGGTGTTTATGCCGTCGACACAACATCTGGGTAACGCTAACAAGTTGTATTGACGCACCACCATAAAAGGCAGGACGGTACAATGACGACGATAAATTCATCAAATGAAAAATGGTCACGAGAACTACGTACTAGCATTGCCAAAATATTGAACTACAATTCTTCATTTGCAATATTCCAGTATATGGAATGCATCGACCTCGCCCGCGTGAATGTTTTGTTCGAGTGCGTTAAATACATCCCCCGCTGCTGGGAACCAACGTCCTGACTAACCACGGGTGCAGCTTGAAAATAGAAGACGAAATTTTGCCTCCCGTACATCAAGGGGGTGTAGCTCAAATGGTAGAGCGGTTCATTAGCATTGAACAGGTAGGGAGATCGATGCTCTCCACCTCCACTTTTTTTTTTTCCGTGTGCACGGCAGTGTACTCGCTCGATTTTTGTTTCCGGGTACTGCTGTATTCAACTTGCTGTGTTTTGTATGCATACTTGTATGATGTGTATCGGAAATTCTGACTGTGTCCTTGTGTTAGTTGATCCCGTGATTGTGGGGGCAACCCCAGCGATCTAACTGTTTCTTCGTTGACTTTATTGTTCAGAGTTCAACTCTACCGCAACATGATGTTTGTCAATAATAACAAGTACCATTGAACATCAATTCTTCGTGCAGAGCACAAAAAGGCTACAGCACGCGAGTGTTCAGAAAATGCGAAACGAGTACAGGGAGTGTCTTCCATTATCCCGCCCCTGCACGAGATTCCAGGCCAGACCGTTAGAGAAATAAATATATATTGTTGTGGTTGTTGTTGTGGATATTGTCTAACATTAAAAACCGTTTCGGTCTCCGCTCAGTACCTTCTAATGTCGTGCTGGTCCAACTGACGCGGACACCTTCCGTGGCTGCAAGCCAACTACCCCAAGAAACACCTATAATATACTTCACATCTTGCTATTTTGTTCGTGTTTTTTTGTGTCAAATGCACGCTGACACGCACACGCAGAAGGAAGAGTCCCATGTCCAGTCCGTTCAAGGGCTCCAACGGCAGCCTTTCGTCGTCGAAGAGGGCCCCAAGCTGTCGGGGAAACAGCGGCAGCGACTCCACGGCGCAGGGGTTCAACCAACGCCTGTGGGGATATCTCTTTCGGAACGTCAATCGGTGAGTTTTGTTTTGTTGTATTTTTGCTCGAGTTCTTTCCGGGCGTGATTGTTTTGTCCAAACGCAAGTTTTCGTTTTTTTTACTGTCTTGTTGCCTTCTCATCGTTTTGAGTTGCACGATTCTTGTGACTTGTTGGAAACAACATTTTTGCATATCGTTGTCAAGATTGTTTTGGATATCGATGTTTTTTTTTCTCAAGTTTCGGTTTTATTTTTCTTCTCTTTGGTTGTGCTTCTTCTTGTTTTGCAGCGATCGTTGTGCAGCATCGACCAGTGTGCAGAAGGTCAACTCAAGAAACCTCAGAAACGGTGCCCATCATTCCAAGATTTCTTGTCACGATTTTGTTTTAGTCGTCGTCCGAAGTCTCTCTGCGGCGCGTTTCTCTTTAGAGTCAAGAGCTTCATGTTTTTTCCCTCAATATCCCCCATCCCGGAGACCCGCCTTTTTAGAAATCTCCGCGCATTTTGTTGGTAAATCGCAGCGAAATTTTCAATTTTCGGTAAACTTCATCTCCAGACTCGTTCGTTACTCTCAACGTAGAGTCTGTAACCGTTTCTCATTTTTGCGTGCGTGTTCACAAATGACCCCAACACACAAGAGCCGTGGACGAGTTGTACTACCTCTGCGAGGCGGAAGGCAGCGCCACGCACTGCACCGAGGCGGCCGAACTGCTGGAAGGGTAAGGTTCAGTTCCACCGCGTTCTACGGTACATGTACCCCCCCCTCCGCGCGTTCTCTCCATCGATCGAATTTTTTTCGTAGACATGGAAAAAATGAAGGGGCACAACCCCAAAATGAGACGATTCTTGAGCAACAAACAGGGCACGTACAAAGCAAAGGAGAAGATGAAAGAAATGGATGCCCCTCATACAGCAGTAGCAATGAGAAAGGGGACTCCAACGTCTCTGCGGCCGAGAGAGAGAGGGAATTTCAAAAGTTGGGGCGGATTTTGGGAACCTTGATGTTTGCCATCCTCAGCAATGGCAGGAAGGAGCATGCCCAGACTTCGACAATTTTGAGCTAGTACCGACGGACCGGGTTGATTGTCGGACATCGATCGATTGCTCGACGAGGCAAGGGAGGGAATGCACGAATATGGAGACCCAGAATAACGTCTGTCCGGGGTCTCTTTCGCATTGAGAGTCGCTAGAGAGACAACATGTCTCCCACGCCGCCGGCCCCTCTCGGTACCAACACCCGTTGGTGTCGAGACGTAAGCCATATGGCACGTCTCCCTTAGTTTGTTGTATAGCCTGAATCACTCCCGTTGGTGCACTCCCGTTGGTGTCGAGAAAATAGCCGTATGACGCGTGTCCCTTGTTTGTTGTATAGCCTGAATCACTCAAAATGGGGCACATGCAACAATCCGAGAGACATAAAAAGGAAGGAAGGCAAGCACCGCATTGGGAGCACAGCATCGATGGAACACAGCAACAAGGTTTACAGGCATGGAACAAGGCTCTTTGCCCTTGACAGACAGGGGAGCAGTACATGCCCCCGATGCGTGATTCGGTTGTTTTCTACGACCAAACCAACGAACACCCTTTTTTTGTAGGTGCGGGCGAGACTTCACGAAGCTCGTGGAGCGCATCGCGGACCAGAAGAGGTTCGAGGAGGAACAGCGCGCGGCCCGCGCAGCGGAGAGACTTTCTGGCGGAAAGCTTTCTCCGGAGGCGGTGGCGGGAGATGGGGGAGACTCATCTGCCGCTGAATCCAGCAGCCGTAAACCGAAGGGGCTGGTATGGGAGGTGTGTTTCATGATTGGTAAATTGCGGGCGGAATTGTACATTTTTTTATGGTTGAAACAGGTAGATAGATCATTTTATCATATTTTGGACTCAGTTGCAGTTTTTTTTCTTATGGAAGGTGGAGGGGTGTAAACTTGTAGTGGGGCAACGCAACGTTGCTCTTGGAGCGGAGTGTTGATCCTATTCTAGTCGGTTGTCTGTGGTCCGGAAACTCGAACTGAAATCAGGATTGATATTGATCGTGTTTCGTTTACCTATTGAATTGTATTCATGCCGCAACCTGTTAGCGATGTTTTTGTTGTGGGTTTATTTTTTGACCAGGCAGAGACTTACCCTCTTGCGAACCAACATCCCACCCCCACCGTTGAAGTCGTTCCAAATGCGATGTTGTCTGCTGTCTTGCTCGATAACGGTGTCTAACGAACTCTTAGTAGGGCTGCTACGGTTCTGCCGCAGCTGCCCTTGCCGCTGCTGTTGCTGAGTGCAGAGCAGGTCCCCATTTATTTGTTCCTAACGCCCGCCCACCTGCCTGCCGCAGGTTCGCAAGACCACATCCGCGACGACCGCCAGCGCCATGGTTCTCAACGCGATCGAGCGCATGGAGAGCCACGCTTCTCCGAGAGAGCCATCCTCCGCGGGGACGCGGAGCGGCCGCACAACCCCTGGCATCGCGGCCACGGCCGCCGGCACCGCGGCCGCCCCTCCCGCCTTCTCCGGCGCTTCTGCCGTTGCTCGGTCGCCCCTCGGCGAGCCTGAGAGTGGCGGCAACGGCGGTGTTTTGGTGACCCCTGTGTTCGGTGGGAAAGAAGATCGCACGAGGTCCCTGCAAGGGACCGGAACGGGGTCCGGTCGCTCCTGTACCGGTGCCGATGCCACGGGAGAAGCGACAACATCGCCCGTGTCTTCGAGAGTGTTTGATAGAAGAGGCGAGGGGAGGCGAGCGCAGACGGCGCCCGTGCAGCCATGCGGGGATGGCTCCTCTCCTGACGCGGCGGCGGTCGCGTTGGGGGACCTGGGCGATGGCGGTGGCGGGGGTGACGCCCCCGGGAGAGAAGGTGTAGGTCGTGGTGTTGCCTCTGCGCCTGCTTTAAGCCAGACTGCTGACGCTGGACCTCCGGTGGTGGTTGCGGAGTCGCCGGCGCGGGTCGATATTACCGCTACATCGACTAGCACTACCGACGGAAGGGACTGCTGTAGCGATAGTGACAGGAGCCTCGCCACGGAGGAGTCTGTTGCCGTCGCTGCTGGTGCTTGTCCCGGCCAGGAGAGCGGAGAGGGGGGTGCTTGCGAGGCGACGGAACGGCGCAGAGAAAGAGGGGACGGGAACGGGGAGCCACAAGGGTGCGTCGCGGGAGCGGAAGGCTGGGCGGGGGGGCGAGCCGCACAAGGTGGGGTGTTCGAGAGGCGCTCACCGGCACGGAAGTTGTCGCTCGGGGGAGCAGGGGCCCCTCAGAGAGTTGTTGGTCGTGGCGAGGAGGGCGCCGCTTCTGAGAACACCGGCCGTTCCGCGGGAAGTCCCGAGCGCGGCGGCGGAAGCAAGGCCGCCGAGCCCGCCCCCCCGAAGAAGAAGTCCGGTCCTCGCCAAGCCCCTGCCGTCTATCGCCTGAACCCGCGCGCGGCACCGTTTACGTACAACCCCGCGGCGATCGCGACCGGGATGACTGCTGTGGTGCCTTCTCGTGCCTCTGGTACTGTTGCTGCCATTGCGGTTGCTGGTGGTGGTACTTGTCCTGGCGTTGTCCGCGCGAAGTCGGCGGTGGCGACGACAAGGGGGGAAGATGTCTCCTTGGCTGCTGTGGCAGATTCGGCCATTTCGACCCCAGTAGGCGGCGGCCCTTCTACCGGTCCGGTCTCTGGCGGTGCGGACTCGCTCCCGTCGCCGTTGTCTGCAAGAACTGTGGCAACGACTGCGGGATCGGTTGCGGGTTCTCCCTTTGGAGAGAAGGGGGCTAGCGACAACAACAGCATAGGCACTTCCGGCAAGAAGCAGAGGCAGAAGAAGAAGAAAAGGAGGAAGCACAAGAAGAGCGAGCACGGTGGTGGCTCAGGTGGCAATGGCGACGGCAAGGCCGCAGATGACTTCCACACGCTTTCCTCCCCGGCTACCACTGCTGCTGCTGCTCCTGAACAGCGACCGTCCTCTGAAAGTAACGCTCTGGGCGGAGCGAAGTCTTCCACCAGCAGACGCGTTGTGTCTGAGCAAACGGCCAAGGGCAGTGCCCGTGGTGATGGGGATGGCGAGTCGAGCAGGGACGGGAAGGGATCGGAACCGCTCGACAACCATACGGAAAGACATGCTCGTTCGCCGGTGAGAACTGTCTAACCAAGCCAATTCCCGTCTTCTACCGGTTGTTGCGCAGAAGTTGTACCCTTGCCTAATACGTAACGTGCACTCAAGCCGTCCATCGTGAAAACAAAAAGCCCCTCGCGCCGCCCCCCGGTTGTATGTTAGTAGGCCCCCGATGCACGTCCCCTACCTCAGTCAACTCTTGCGTGCCATTTTACCATTTTTCTACCCCCCCTCCGCGCACATTGTTCGCGGTAACCCCCAGCGCGACAGGAAGTCGCCCAGACGCCCAATGCTCGGGCAGGGCAGCCCCGGTGGGGCTATCGCTGGCAAGCAGACCGCGTCGTCTTCCCTCGCCCTAAGCTCAACATCAGCGGGTGTAGCTTGCACCGGTCGTGATGAACCAACAGAAGCTGCTGGTGCAACAGCAGCAGTAGCAGCAGCAGCAGCAGCGACCGGAGGATGTACACGCGCCCCCGGCACCGCCGCCGCCTCGCCGGCATCGGTGGGAGGAGAACAGGGGGATGTACCGGCCGTGACAGCGGTGGAGACAACCACCGAAGGGAGCAATGCGGACGCGGTAGCTAGCGTTGCCGCTGTAGGCAGCCGGAACGACGGCGGCGCTGACAGCCGCAACAAGGGCGAGAAGAGCGATAGCCCACCACACTGCGAAAAGGGAGCGACGCAGGATGGCGAAACAAACAATATCCCACCGCTGGGGCGGGATCAATGCCACCACAGCGCCGACAACTACCGGGAGGTCGTCGTGGCTGGGGTCAGAGAACGTGATGACGAGGGCACCGGCCGGAAACAAGAAGGAGATGAGGACGAGGAGGGAGAGGAATCGGATGTTGACGGGGAGGAAGGGGAGGAGGAAGACGAGGACCCAGACTCTGCGTACGTAGACGCCATGGAGAAGATCTGGGCGGAGGCGGAGGCCTGGGTGGACGCTGAAGCTCAGGTTAGTCTGCGCCCGCCGTACGCCGGGATTGTGTCGGGGTATCGATAGGGGGACAGGCCGCAGGACAGGGGGGGGGGGTCCTTTGCACCAGGAGTGGGATGTCATGAGTCTTTTCAGACAAAATACACCTGGGTGACCACCCTCTCGTCACGACGAGGACGAACAACCCCGTCAATTATCAGTAGTAGAACATCGTAAATGCACCACTGTACGTACGCAGATCTACGATGTCTTTTCAGAGAGAGAACAACAGCAAGCTGCTACAAATGTCAATGCCCACGCCAGTTTCTTAGAGCCCGGGGTACATGTGTTTTGTGAGCTGGCACCTCGATTTTTTGCCTCGATCCTCCCCCCTCGAGACCCGTACTCCGAAACTAACCCCAACCCGTGGGCGGTGGAACAACGACGGTGCCATGACACCCTGCGCGGCGCTTGCAGGCTGAAGAGGAGGCATGGGCCCGGCTCCCGACCGACGTGACCTGCTGTCCCTCGGAGTCCGAGGGGGGGGGAGGTTCCGACATCGACGAGTCAACGACGGCAGCGGCAGCAACGAAGTCAACAGCAGACACGGCGGGGGCGGCACGATCGTCATTAGATCACCGCCGGAAGCCACCCAGTCGTGATGAAGACGACGATGATGACTACGATGGTGGTGCAGCGGCGGAGAAGACCGGAGTGGTGTCGCTACCCTTCGCGCCTGGCGCCGAGAACGGTTCGGATGTGCCGCTAAGGCGCCAAAGCAGCGGCGGTATCTGCGGCCGTCGCACCGCAATGGGTGCTAACGCCGGCGTTCGGCAGGGCGCGGTTGGCGGTAGCGACGATGACGTTGACGAGTTACTCGACCTGGAGATCGAGATTCCGGTACCCGGGGAGGCGGAGGAAGAGCGGGTCGGGGCAGCAGTCGGAGACATTGAGAGGTTTGCAGGGGACGGCGAAGAGGAGGGGGAGTTGCGTCAACGGGTGAACACGTTGGCGTCGGAAGGTGAGAGCTATACTGCTTCGGTTCTCGTGTCCCGTGCTCAAGTAGGTTCCATCCACAACGGATTGTGCTTGTCGATAGATCACAGAGAGCGCGCTTTACGACAGCAATCACTCTTAGGAGAAGTGCATGCACGGTTTTTCATCGCGGTCCTCATCACACCAGCGTCTACTTCTGACCAAAGTTGCCGCCAGGACGTGTGGCAGAGGACACCTTGCAAGCAAGGAAAAACCTTACGAGAACCTTCAACAGGCGTTGTCAAGGAAGCAAGAGGGTGCGGCGAGGGCAGGAGGCACCCTTCCTTCCAGGGCTGGAAACGCCTTCGGACTGGACCGCAATCAACCCGGGTGTCTCGCAAGACGTCCTGCATTTGTATTTTGTTCACGTTGGTGTTGATTAGTCTCCAGCTTCAGCATCAAGTTCAGGCTCGACTGAATCATGCTCCGTTTCACCCCCCACCCGCCCTACCCCCGCTCCTTCCCACATCCCCTTTTCGGTCTCCTCGTTTGTGTGGTCTCCTTCTGCCGCTGGCTGCCTTGCTGCAGACGCGGACGTCGAGAACGCCTCCCTGCATTCCTGGTACCAGGCTAGTGACCGACCTGATCTAGACTCTGAAGACGACGACGACGACGAGGAGGAGGAAGACCAAGAAGAAGAGACGGTGAGCTTGGGCCTCCAATTGCTTTGTATTGAGCTTTTCGTGTGGTGGAGCATTTTACCCAGTTGGGGCTTAAAAGGCCTCTGGGAGGGGACTTTGTTCATTTCACGCGGTGGGGGCGACGTGTTGCTCAGTGAAGAACCCAAGCGCTGTGGTTGACCATGGTTTGTATTTATGGTGTCTCTGGTGCTGGTGCCTCCTTGACACGCGCTCATGAAACAATCCAGCACAGCATACAAAAATATCACGTGTTTCTTCCTTCCTCGTTTTTGTTAATTCAAGCCGGAGTTCTGTACACAGGCTTGACCGCGTCGTTTACTGTTGGTTACTCGGGCCTAACATCGTCAAAATGGTTGTAGCATCAGAAGCAGCAGAAGGAAGTTAGTCTCTGGAGAACTCGAAAAATGAGTACCTTGATAACAACCGACCAGGTTTTGTTTATGTCGCAGCAGGAGGGCCAAGATGAACACGCGTCGGGAACAACCGAGTCAGCAGCAGCCGCGGAGCACTCTGCGGGCAGCAAGAATGGCGATAACGGCAATGATGGCACGGGTGCACGCAAGCAAGGAGAGAGAGGGAAGGGAAAAGAAAGGGGAGGTTGGCATGCTCCGTCCGATTCCCCGAGATTCCCAAGATCACCGGCGAACTCCCCAGCCGCGGGGGCTGGCAATCACCCCCCCCATCACCACCTCCTCCACCCCCGCCCCCCCCAACATCCGGGTGCGGGGGGTGGGGGGGGGGGTCCCGGAGAGGTCGAGGGCGGGCAAAGCGGTAGCGGGTACCCTCTTCTCGCTGGAAGCGTTCCTCCTCTCACTAGAACCCCCTCGGACAGCGGGGCGTCGTGCTTCGGGGTTGAGAGGGGGGGGGGAGGCTCTTCTTCGCACGAAGCGTGCGAAGAAGGTGAGAGAGTTCCGGAAGTTCTGTTTTGTCCTCGGACGGACGGAATTGAATAAGCGCTTTCTCGCTCATCACTCTTTCTCTTGATCTTGTTGCTCCACGTATGTGATGCTTGGTGTGTCTCGCTTCTTGCTGCCCTGGTGCGGAGCGTTTATGCTCTGTTGGGTGTATCACCAGCCAGGCGGTCACCTTCCGTACCCCCGTATATAGTTACGTCGCATGATTTGAAGACAACCATAACAACAGCAATAACAACATCAACAACAACAACAACAACGAAGACAACGACAACGACAACGACAACGACGACGACAGCAACAATGCGGTGACTTGACTAGGATTGGTAGACTCGTCCAATTATTTTTCTTGAAAGCACTGGCTCTGGAAGCTCCTCTTATCTGTGCATGTTCCGTGGTAGTTTGTGTTCGAGGTATACATCGTATTCCATTTACAACGTATATGGATGAGTTGCGAGGGTCCATATCGAGTAGGTGGCAGTGTCTTGCTGGTGACTGCAGGCGGGTGCGTCGCATTGATGGTAATCTTAGCGACGAAAGTATACCACGGAAAACGGCCGGGCAAGGGTGTTCGTCGAGTGCTCACTAGATCCAGAGGGGATTTTTTCTTCTGTGTTTGTGTTTTTCCCTTCAAGCCAGTGTAAAAAAAAAGAGAGGTAGAGCTTGGCATCTGTGTTTCTCGGAAGTTCTTCCGGAAATCATAAGATGCGAGTGTACGGGCTCTGCGGAAACGCTACTTTATGACGTTATCCATCGTGTCAGCAAAATCAGGGCGAGGCGAAAGATGACAAATCGCTCCGCTTTGAACGCGACAATACTCTACGATGTTGAAAAAATATTTATTTATTTTTTGTTCATTTTTTCTTTTTGCGATATGGTAGGGTTCCTGCTGCATTCAAAGCTGAAGTGGAGCGATTTGTCGCGTTTAACCTCCTCCTGATTTTCGTGACCCGGTGGATAATCGGCTCGCGCCCCTCGCGGAGTAAGACATTTCCGGGCTTGGTTGGTTGTTTTCCTTGGCGGGGTGCAGTGGGACCACTCGACGTCCAGATCACTTGCGTACACCCTCACCACGTGCAGCAATTTATACCACGTGCAGCAGAAGCTACCTCCGGTGTAACTCCTCAAGCAGTAGATTTCCGTGTTTACGTGGGACTGTTTCAAGCGGTACTGTGCACTGCCAGCTTCTCGGTTGCAGCATCTGATCGAAGGACCGTTCTTCTTCACACCGAAGGCTTCGAACGATCGTCTTCACGTGCGGCAAGCCTATCCATCCCCGTTCCTGCCCGCTCTTGGTGTGTTTTATTTTGTCGCCGTCAGGCTGGGCTCCGTTCTCCCACCGGGAGCTCCAGAAGAAGCTGTCGTCTCCGCAGCGCAAGCCCCAGCGGAAGATCCTCTCCGCCGCGGAGGCCAAGCTACGGCAGGAGAGGTACGCACACTAGCAGCAGCGGCTACGGACGGAAACTTGCAAGCGCATTGTTCGGTAGGGTACGTTCGTACCGAGGCATTCCGCCGGTATATACACACCCTACCGGGCGTCTCGGTGCGATTTGTACAGCCCTCCGGACCCTACATGTACCGAAAATCTCGGTACGATCTGTATACTGTAGACCCCCATACCCTACCGAGCATACCCGTACCCTACCGAACACACCCTTGAACTTGCGATGTCTCAAGTAGAACTGCAGCTGAGCGCTACACACTGCGTATGCGATGATATGTCTCAGTGCCAGCGCGCAGCGCGAAAAGACGGTCGACTTTGGAACGATAATTATTGTTGCGTTTTTGAAAGTCAAACAACCGGCGGAAAGTGTTTGCTCTAACCCTAACCCTAACCCTAACCCTTCCTGTAGCCCACCCCTCGTCCTTGCTTCTCCTGCCCCGGGGAGAGCCCTGAGGCTGAGCAAGCAAGGGCAGACCCGAACTGGGTACATAGTATAAGGAGGCGAATCTGAGCATCTCAATGGCCCCTATATGGCCGAACAGAGTCGTGTTAGGTTACTGCTTGCTACCGGTTTCAAACGGGATGATGACTCCGTATCGGCCGAAAAATCATTATAGGGGGCCGAGGCTAGTAGCGCTCAGGTAGATATTTTGCATTCTTCCAGTTTTTTCTCTTTCTTTTTCTGCATGAACCTGTGCGCATACCTTGCTAGCACCTTGTTGTTGGTTGCTACGTGTATGGTGTCTTTGTAGCAGGGGTGGCCACGAACTGCTTTATTGTTCAATGCCTCTTCTTCGGGTGTATCCTGACGCAAACAAACCTCTTTTTCGTGCGGGAAGTCGCAATGTCTTTCTTTCCAGGTACGGTTTTTGGCGAACTCGACCGTTGTTGTTGTTGTTGTTGTTGTTGTGGTTGATGATGTTGTTGTTGTCGTCGTCGTCGTTGTTGCTGTGTTTTTGGAGCAGGCGGCAGATGGTGGCGGAGCTCAATCGGGCGCAGCTCGCGAGCGGGATCACGGAGAAACTCAAGCAGCATGAGGAACGCGCGAGGTAAAAGTAGCGGCATGGTCGTATGCGGGCGTGAACGAACACGGGACAATAGCGCGTTTTTCTTTTGCCCCCAGCTGAGTCATGACTGATGCGTTCCTTTCGCAGTCGATTCCGTGTTCTGTGCCGGTTGACACACAGACGCCCACAAGTTGAATGCTTGCCAGTGACGATGCTGTCTCGCCTTTACGAGCATGCTTTGTCTCGAGGCTGGACCCTTCTATAACTCAGTCTACGCGCCCCGTGCGCACGGTCTTCGGACCAGCGGGCAACAATTGTTGTTGGCGTGCCAAGGCTGACGCCTTTGTTTCGGCCGGCCGGTTAGCGTTGTCTAGGACCAGTGAAAGAAACACACACACGTACGCATGGAGACTGGACCCCAATCCCGTCCGTACGCCCCCCTGTCGACGCCCACCTCCGGGCTAGAGAGCGTTTTTCGTTCCGCTGAAAGACTGGCGTCTTGATTCATTGTCAGCCGGTCAGCCGGTCAGCGCGCACGCGATGGATGCTATCGACACAACAACATACCGCGGGGGGGGGGTCAAGAGCTAAGAGGTACTCGTCTTTCTCGTTTCTGAAAGAGCTACACGCATTCGTCTTTTTCGTCTGGAAAGGGGTGTGCGGTTCCGCAAAGAGGAGCAGCTTCTTAAGGCCGAGGAGGAGGCGAAGAGGAAGATGGAGGGGGCCGACGCCAGGAGGAAGGAGCACCGCAGGGGTATCGTCAGGAAGGCTAACGATGCCAACTCGAAGGTGCGGCTGGCTGCCTGTCTTTCTTTTTTCAGTTTATCCGGGGCCCTCGCAGAGAAGAAAGCCATGGAGGCCTACGATGCTGAGGGCTCTTGTTCGCCTGTGTGTCTTTTTAAGAGCACCCGCGGGGGTGTTTTCAGGGAGGTCTACGACGCTAGGTGCTCTTGTTCATCTCAGTGCTTCTCTTGGTAAATCTTGAGGCACGTTTTGATTCCGTTTGTAATGTGGTATACATACTTGTGGTTGATCTTGGCAGTATATTCTCCCACGTCTGTGGCGTGCTTGATCTATTTCCGTGTTAAGATCGATTCTTTTATGATCACAGGATCACTTTTCCCGTAGCAACCGTTTCACCTGCGTCAGGCCCCGGAGTGAAGTGGTACAACCTCGTTTCTTGCAATCGATTGTTTTGTGTTGGGGGGGGAGGAGGGAGAGCAATTTCTATTTTGAGTTTCCACGTTATTTTTGGTAACGAGGGTGCTGTATCATCGCCGCCGACGGGGCACGGCCTCTTTATCATCCTAAAAAAGAAAAAAACGAAATCGCGCCGCATCCAACCTTCGACATAGGTGCTACAACACAGAAACGGAAGGTTTTCTATCTCTGTCTGACTCTCGGTTTCCCCATGCGCGCTCGCTCCTCTGGGCCCATGTCGAAGGTGGAGGAGGTGCTTTTCATGAACAAGCTGACTGTGGAGGACCTCAAGATTACGCTGCAGATGAAGCTCGCTGAGGTGGATCGCCGGATTCAGTCCGGCAGGTAAATAGCTAAAGGAGCCGTTCTGCTAAAGGGGCGGTTCATCCTACGTTCTGAATTGTGTAATCATAGATCCTTCCGCTTCAAAGGTACCGAAGAATCGGTCAAACAGGATTTTTTTTCTTAATATACCACAAGAAATCCATCCCGATCCACACACAAAAGTGTCTTTGATAAAATTGGCAATGAGGTCATCGCGTCAGCAGTGCACTACCTGTGCTTCTACGATTCCCCCAGTAGCCTACAGCGCATTTTTGCATTTTTGAAATCGGTATAATATGTCCGTACTTAGTTTTACTTGTTGGTTTTGCAAGCGCGGTGAGTATGGAAGATTGGTAGGTAGCGCTCAAACGTGTTGGCGCACGTTCGAGCAGGGCGCGAAGGCAGCAGCTGCTGGCGGGCATCTCCGATCGGCAGAGGAAGCGGACCAGGGACAAGGCGGCCCAGATGAGCGAGAGGCGGCTGGAGGCTGAGTCTGTGAGTGCTGTAGTTGTTGTTGTTGTTGTTGTTGTTGTTGTTGTCGGTGGTGGTGGTGGTGGTGGTGGTTGTTGTTGCTGTGGTTGTTGTTGTTGTTGTTGTTAATATTGTTGTTTTTTGTTGTTGTTGTTCTATTGTTATTGTTGCTGCTGTGGCGGTTGTGTTGTTGGTGTTGTCGTTGTCGTTGTCGTTGTGCTGTGGTCGTGGTTTGGATAGTTGTGTTGTCTACGTTGCTTCATACTTCACTCGACGATAGGCAGCGTTGCCGGTTCTTGTTTACGGTCAACGATGAAAGCAAACGAAACATACCAAGCAAGTAATTCCTACGTGAAGCCAGCCAGATACGCCATGGAATGGTCGAAAGCTCTTGCCAGGGGGGCACGAAGGTTTTGTGATCAGTCTCGGAAGGACAATGCGTGATCCATGGTCGCATTACTTGGACATAACCAAGCAAATGAAAATATAACCTCCGCCTCCCCCCCTTGTTCCGTCCTCTCGAGGACGCCTAGCCAATGGTCTATTCGCTAAGGCATGCACAACATGAAGAGTACCCCCTCCCCCCCCTTTTTTTCGGGACTTGTTTCTTGAGGCGGCTGCGATGCGGTGGGAAGCCCTACAGAAACGGCTGGAGGCGGTGCAACAGCGCCGGAGAGACAGGGAGAGGGAAACAAGCCGCAGGATGCAGGCCGCGAACCGGCACACTCAGGCTCGGGAGCGGAGGAAGGTGAAAAAAGAGGGGCGGCGGCTTGGATTGGTTTGGGTTAGGGTGTCGTCTAGTTTTCGTGTTTTGGTTGTCTGATTAAACAGAGGAGGGGTGGGTCGACCGACTTGACGAGTTGGTTGGGTTCAGCTAAGCAGTTGGGCTTTCGTGTACGCATGGACGACCGGGCTTTAGATCCCCTGTTCCGCCCCGAATAAACGGGAAATCGCGGTAGATACAATGGCCTTTTTGTTGACTGATGAGAACTGAGCACCGACGCTCGCCTCGTTCGGCTCCCTATCTCATTTTATTCGTCTTCTGTTCTCGTTTAACCTCGATCATACGGTCCCTCTTAGGCGATGCTGCATCACCCGGCGAGTGTAACCGCACCGGCAACGGTGACCGGCAAGGCCAAGGGCGGCGAAACGGCGGTGAGGATCGACAGTAGACGCAAGGGGGCGATGGATGCCGCCGCCGCCGCCCCCGCCGTTGCTGACAAGAACAAAAGCAGGAACAGTCGCAACAACAGTAGCGGCAACGCTCACAATGTCAATTGCGAGAACGACACCGACGACGAGGTCGAATTTCCCGAAGGTAAGCCTCGCCCCGAGTTAAGCCGGACGCCGAGGAATGTGGCCGTCCCGGCGCCTGCGGCGGCGATGTACGAAGACCCACCCCCGACTCAAGCCGCAAGCGCGGCGCTCCTGCTGGCGACGACGGCCTGTCCCAGGAGAGGAAGGGCGCAAAAAAAGCGGGCGAGGAAGGTTAAGGATAACCTGCGGCAGCTCTGCGTGGAGGCAAGCACAACGGGACCGACCGCGACGGCGGTAGCACCTTGGCCGCGGCTTGAGAAGGCGGCGAGGGAGCTGGCCGAGCTGGCGCTGGCAAAGACGCAGGTGGTGAAGAACCAGGCGGCGGCCCAAGCCGCGAAACTCCCCGCTGATGCCCCAGCGTCTCGCCTAGCGCCGGCTGCTGTTGTTCCCTTGGCCGCAAGTACAGAACAGCCATCACTTTCGATGCCAACGAATCCCGTTGGCCTCCTGTCCGGTGTTAACAGCGGCGATGTCAGGACGGCGGTGGTGGCTGCGGCAGGGACGACGACCGACGAAAATGTTGGAAACCCGGGTAAAGGCAGGGCCGCCGCGCTGATCGCCGAGGTTAACGCTGAGGACGGGGCCCGCTCCGGCGATGGCGGGGGGGGAGGAGGCAGCTGTAGCAGTAGCGGCGCCGACCAGCTTTCGGCACGAGGAGAAGGAGGACGGCTCCTCCTGGGCGGGCACAGGAAAACGCGGCGAGGTAAGCGCGCGGGAGGCGCAATCAATCGGCGCCGCGGGGCGAAGGCACGATCCGCCGCCGCCGCCGCCGCCGCCGCGGCTATGGCCGCCTTGGGTACAAAAGGAACGGATTCACAGTCTCCGGTGTGTTCGGCGGTGGCTTCAGGGGGGTTCGAAGATGGCGCCGCGGGATGCGAAGGTAAGCCAGGCGAGGGTACAGGCGAGGAGGACGCGAAAGGAGAGGTGGAGGCGGGCAAGGAGGGTGGCTATGACATTCCAGAGGAATGAGGAGGAGGAGGAGGAGGAGGAGGAGGAGGAGGAGAAGGGGGAGGAGGA